ATTGTAAACAGATATAAATATACCGCCTCTTGTGCCTGATGAGGACAAAAACTTTGGTGGCTCTTTCGTTGTGGATTTTAGAAAGTGATGACGTCACGTGAAAACGATCTATTGAGTTCTGCACCAACTACACTTCAAAAGAGCTTGCTCGGTGAGGGTTATAACAATCTGAACCTGTACGTTTGTATCTCGTCAAATCAAGCGTATTTTTATTCACCTGAACTCTTCTTCCAGCTTCGTTGCACTGACTCCATCTTCAAACTTGCCGTGTACATCTTCAAACTTGCCGTGTACATCTTCTCTGCTCGCATTGATTACAGAGGCGGCAGGCTTCGATTTTGGGACAAAATAGCCGATAAGAAACCCGACCACTACCGCCAATAGCACTGTCACTATGACAGCAATCACAGCTTGCTTTCGCGACAATCTACCACGTCTTTGATATTTACCACGCCGATTTTCGGATGAAAACACAGTTTCGATTTCACCGTCAGTGCAATCTGACAGCGGTGTCATCTCGGTGATTACGGTACAATATCTCGATCATGCAATATCAGTCTAACAAACTGCGGCGGCAATCTGTTGTTTGTCCCACTGTTTATCTGTTCAAACCCCAAGCGACAGAGCCAAAATTGATTTAATTACATCGAGCAGAGGTCACAGAATTATAAATTCTGCCGACCCCGTCCATTGTGTTCAAAAATTGACTCGAATTTGAATTTTTGACACTCATTCTGACTCTCTATGGCGCGATTCATTCCGCCAAAACTTCCGGAAATTTCGGTCTAAAACTGAATGGATCGGTTCGTCCCAACCGGAAAAGTTTCGAAAAAATCGGTCCACCTTTTGATGTGGACCACTTCTGTCAGTTTTCTCCGATAGAAAATTGATCGTTTTCATATAAAAAAAAAGATGAGGGGGGNGTTTTGGTATCTCTTAGAGTGTTGAGCCTCAAAAGGTCCACAGGGGGGAGCTTTTGAGGTAACTTTCAGGGTATTGAGCCGAAAACAAATATGACAGGAGATAATGTTTTGTTTTAGAAATGGTACTTCTAAGAGGTGAAAAACTTTCAAGCCATGCCCACAAAACATGATCTTGGTACTTCATAGGGGCTCTTTTCAAAATTTCCAACGAGAACCCCCGTCCTTTTTATGTGGGAGTATCCCCCCCGGATGCAAGGGCGTCAAGCAAGTCATTTTTTCGCAATTTTTTTATTATTATTATTTTTGAGTCGGGAGGTATAACAAAACAGCTAAATTTTTAAGGCCTCGGTCTCAACTTTTCACTATACGGACCTCTCAGCCGGGCAAATAACATAGTATATATATATATATATATATATATATATATTCCAAAAGTTACTATGTTATTTGCGGTATGGACAACTTTCATTTTACCTTTGTGCAACGTGTGAACGAGATATAAATTTTAATCAAACAACGGTTCTAATGTCCGAAAAGGTCGACAAAATGAACAAGATTTAGCTGGAAAATTGAATAACAAAATCCTGATAAGTTATGGCATCTAAAATTATTATTTCCAGGAACAGCGTTTTCAAAAACCAGATCTCAGTTTTATTTCATTATCTCGATTGGCGCCCGCAAGAATTTTAACCAAGGCAACTGTAAATACAGCTGGAAAATTCCGAAAACGATGGTGCTCGATGGAAAATCAATGAACTCAAGTTTTCCTTCTAAAGTTTCAGTTGATAACCTGAAAATATAAGGAGAAGGTATAATTTGATCAGTATCGAAATAGGAAAAACCTAGATCAGAAACTTAGCCCGTAATGAATCTTTTCAATATCGATTATATTATAGCTTCTTCAATGATTTAAACTTCCTGCACCAAAAAGCGAGTTTTCCTAAACAATTTAAATAGGTAAATATATCGACTACATCCTCGCTTTCATAAAAATAATTTTTTCATAAAACAACTCTGTGGGACAGTTTTGGTACCATGTTAAAGGACTTCGCAGTCTGACTTCAAGAATGAGCTATGCCACAATAGTTAATGAATAACTAGCTCCTAAGTGTTAGGGTGCGTTTCTTTGAGAAAATCCAAGATTGGATTCTTAAATCCGAAAACAGATTTTGCGTTTCTTTACTAAACAGATCAATCCAAGATCACTTGGATCATGGTGCATCAAAGGCACCGAAGAATCCTTGCCCAGAGTGGATTCTTCGGTTCTTTTGGAGTTACAACCGTTGCTATATATGGCCATTGCTATGTTGAAATATAGCTACCAGTGTGCAGATTTAATAATGTCTTTTGAGAACTTCTCTTGAGCGAAAACGTCTGTAGCGCTTTTCATAGGAACTGTAGGAAACATTGCGAAGGAAGCCTTGAAAGTGCGCGTTATTGACGTGCAATTAGCGTGGGTATCCAAATACAAAAAGTCCAAATTGGATATATGTAATTGGACACCCACGTAATTGCGCGCCGATTAGGTGACAAATAGAAGCGCGGAGAACCAATCACGATCGAGAATTTTGTTCAAGATACGATTGAAACGTCAATCAAGGAGTAATTAGAGCAATATCGTTTCAAAATACGTTTTGTAAATTGTCTTAGATGTTGAATCTTCATGGTTCAAAAAAAATGGTTGTTTGGAGAAATGTTTATATCTGCATGAGGGTATAAGACCACCTTAACATGGGACACAGCGATAAATTTGAAATAAAAATTAGCCGTAGTGGTTCACGTTCTCCAGACAACGCAGAATTTGGTCATTTCACGTTACTGGTTTTCAGAGTACGGCAAAGAAATGCACCAAGAATTATAACGAAACGAATTATTTTCTTATGCACGTATTTGCCACTGATTGGGAACACCATAATTTTTTCTAGCACTGCTTGTCGTCATGAAAGCGCTCTTTTCAATGCAATACCAGGATATCCGTCCAGGTTGCCAGTCACAAGGTGGAACCTGTTGTATAAATACACTACCTGTTAGTCCGTAATCTGTTTCTATCACACCCACGAGATTTCAAAATTGCTGTCTCAAGAAAGCACATCTTCGAAAGAAACCTTTACGGTCAATCTCTGGGCTTTAAACATGCGTTTCTGAGCACAACTTCACAAACATGCCACGAGGTATCTTGAGATGTTTTTTAATGCTCTGTATTTTTCTAGCAGCTGGGATTTTGGTTTCGATTTTGGATCGCATATTTACACTCAGCGGCTATCGAAGCTACCATTTAGTTGATAAATCTTCAACTTATCAATTTGATCATGAAGACATAAAGAATTCCCAAGAAGTCGACATTGGGAGCTGGGTACGTAAGGCCACTCGTAACGTAATTGTACGGAGACGGAAGGAGTCAAAACAACTAAGTAAAACAAATAGCCAAGCTCATGAAAAAGAGAACAATAGAGGGCAAAATATCACCAAGGAATCAGCGTTCGATGTTTTTAAACAAGATTGGTGTCGAATGCAACGAGCTCGGTTAGAATGGAGAGAAGTTCTCGGCCCGTGTTTCAACTCCACCGAATGGGAAGAACCGAACACCGTTGGTCAAGGAATCAATCAAATAAGTGATCCCGGCAAAAGTTTCATTTCGCGTTGGGATATTAAGCAAGCGGGCGAGTTTAGCCGCTTTGTTATTCAGACAGTGACACCTAGCAGTGATGTTAAAACGATTGGAGGAGATTCGTGGAGAATTCACTTCCACGGCGCTTCGTCTCTCGCTCCAACAGTGCTTGATCTCGGCAATGGCACCTATGAAGTTTTATTTCTTATTATTGAGAGTGGTGATTATGAGGCAAAAATCTTCCTGGATTACAGTCTCTGTCGTGGATTCAAAGACCCACCACCATTCTGGTTTAAGAAAGGTAAGCATATGTGATCAACAGACATGAATTATCGCAAGAAATTTCTGCTTGATCTCAATCCTGTCTACATTCAATTTATATTAATCCCTCTAATTTCTCCCGACAAGTTCCCTTTTAAAAGAAAGCTTAAGCAATGACGACGGCGAACGCCTTGTGAAAAAATGAAATTTATATTTTACCTTCGGATTTCGCAGTTGTCTAGATCTGTTCAGCGCGCCTATTGGTCTCAGAACTTACTTAAGCTAAATATGTAACGCCAACGTTCACTGATTCCAAATGAAAATACGAAAAATTAGGCTCCGTCGTTCGCATTCTACAAAATACGCAGAACTTGAATTGGTCATTTCACGTTCTTGTTATGGAGAGGACGGCAAAGAAATGTACAAGTATTTATAACGGACGTGAATAGCCATCCGTTCTTATTCATTAAACCTTTTGTTTGGTGGCGTTCTCGTTGCCGTTGCCGTCGTTGTTTGCTTCAGCTCTCTAATTTCTGGCCACTTGCAGGTAATTCCCAAGGCAAAAATCAGCCGGATGGTGTTCTGAAGGGAGATAGGCCTTTCTTGATTGCTCCTTTCAAGGGCGGAGAGAAAGTGGCATTTCATGTTCCACCGTCGGACAATAACCAAAGACACAGTAAGTCAAGATTACAAAGACAAGCTTCTCGTTCATTATAGAGAAGTGCCTTCTTCACTTTCTTCTTTCGATTCTAGATTATCGAGTAAAAAACGAGAAGAAAGCAAACGCGAGAAAACAGTTTTGTCTGTCGCTTGGAAATGGAGAGATGCGACAAAAATAGGGACAGAAGGGCTGTTTCAGTATATCCGTGCAAAACTTAGTACGAGGCGAGACCTATAATAGTAAGACGCGCGCTGCAAAGATGTTTTCATGGACTATGACAGCAGTGGCCCGACCTATTGTAGTTCCCAGCGCCTTTCCTTTGAAGGAAAAGCTCTGGCAACGAAGTTGATCGTGGTAGCCATCTTTTCACTTTACTCGCCCTTCTCCTCCAAGATACCAAACATTTTAATTTTGAGCTGTCATTTTGACCTAATGCCCCGTCCACGCACACTACACCGGAGAAATTTGAAAATCGGCGTTTTCACTCCGAAAACGCATCAAATGGTTTTCATCCACACAACGTCGGAGAAATTTGACAACGCAACAATCACAGGCGGCAGAAAATCTTCACGCCAGTGCACGCTCGAGTGTTTGGGTTGATCACATTGATCGTATTCAAGAAGCTCCGTTTTCAAATGTTTTCCGTCCACATTAAAATGCAAAGCCGACGTTTTAAAATTCCTCCGGTTTGAAGAGCGTTAACTTTTCGAAAAGCTTCATTTTCGACTGGATCAGTGTGGACGGTAGGCCTCAGTGACCGTAGAAATAGCGCGGCAGCATTTTCAAATTTCTTCGGCGTAGTGTGAACGGGGCTCGACTCTCTTTCTTGTTCTGTGTTTGTTATCAGTTGATGCTTTGGTGAAAGAGGTTTCCTCAAAGTCAACAAAACTTCAGAAATACACGTGTGACTCATCGTGTGGAACATTGCTCTGGGATGGCTTTGGTAGATGGGTAAATGGCCACTGGAAGCCTTATATAAAAGGTAAGGTTTGATTAACAAAAAGAATTAGCGAAAAGGAACTGCAACGACGTCTTGAAGACACTTTGTACAAGGGGTTTTCTTTTATTTTCAATCAGTGCATGTATTAAAAAGTGTTCTCTTACTATAAAAATGTGTATAAAATTTAAAATACATTCAAATGTTGTACCCTGCTGAACCAATCAATTGCTATCGAGATGTCAATAGCGCTTCCTTTCATCATTTCTTAATTTTACGCGGGGCCCCTTTTGATATCAGCCTATGGCTGATGGGTCTACCCTGCCTAAATAAAGATGACTTGACTTGACTTGATTTCTCTCTCTGATCTACCTTTTTCTTTCCTTCTTCTGTTCTTTATTCTTTTTTATCGTTTTCTAGCTTT